TATCTCAGTATAAATTTAAGTATGTTCACAGGATAACTTTGAAGGCATACAGATAAAGTGACAATGTGATACTGCAATATAGTGGAGCTCCTGTGTACATTGATGCTGCTCCAAAACAGGACTGACATAAGGAAAGATTAAGGGGGGCTAATTGCAATTTATGGCCAAGAGTTTCTTTTTTCAATGTCATCAACCATCTGGTACATATTGTGTTCATAGCTGCATTAGCTTTGCAAAGTCGAATTTTCGTTCCAGTTTGCGTCCAAAATTACTTGCATATCACTGACTGTAGGACTTTCAATGAATCATGCAGCAGTTTAGAATCCTGGAGTCTCAGGCCAAGCTAAATTAAAACAGCACAAATACGGAAAATTTTGGAGAAGCTTAGCAGGTCTGGCAGCATCTGTGGAGAGAAAACAGCCAACATTTTGGGTGGCATGGTTGCTCAGTGGTTAGCACTGCTGCCTTGCAGCACCAAGGAGCAGGGTTCTATTCCATCATCAGGTGACTGTCTTTCTGGAGTTTACACGTTCTACCTGTATGGGTTTCCTCCAGGTGCTCTGGTTTCAAGGCCCTTGTTGTAGGCTAGCAACTGGGGGAAGAGTCTTCAAGGTAATTAATTCAATTGTGAGTGTGGCCAGGTCTGTGTGCATAGCTGGCTTCCAGATTGGGGCTATTTAACATGATATGCCCTACCAGTGCATTGGAACAGGACGTCAGTATCGTTGTTATCACTGAGCCTATATGACTCTTCGTCAAAGCAGCTCTGATGAGGTGTCATCTAAACTCAAAATGTTAGCTTGCTCTCTCTCTATGGATGCTTCCTCACCCATTTGTTGTTTTCAGTACAGATTCCAACACCTGCAGTAATTTACTCCTCTTTTGTTGCTATCATTGTGTGCCCGGAACAGGAAATTGGCACCCAGTCCGTCCGTACGCACATGAGCAACGCAGCTGACCTTGCCTGTTCACCCCTCATCCCTCCGCTCAGCACCCCTCTTGGTGTTTCACTCAATGCTCCCCTCATTGCTCTGCACACCAAACCCTTGCTGCCTCTCTCATCCCTGCCCAGAGGATCGGAACACTTCGAGAAACAAAACTTGCATCTCAAAGGTATATTTAATTTTTAAATAGACCATGTTTTCTGTCAGATATATATTTAAGTTTTAAATTCTGTATAACAGTTAGTCAATTTTACCGTACCTCAATGTGACAGCAATCTGCAGGCATTGGAGATATCAAGGGTATTGCTGCTGCAAGTATCGTGAGATTGCCTCTCTATAGTGGTTACAAATTCCAAACTACTTTTAAATAGATGTGACAGATAGCAGAAACTCTGTTTGCACTTGAAATTGCACAAACCTTTGCGCTGGTTTTCATCTGAATTGAACGGTTTACACCAGCAGAATACCAAGCCTCTGTACAAACACAAATTATATTTCTGCAGTAATGCTTCTAAGCAATAATGTCACACCCTTGTTCCCAATTGGGTATAAGGAGAAAAATGTTCAGAAAGATTGATCCAGGGCAAGGTGACTGCGACTTGCATAAATGCTCATTGATTAAGAAAAACCAAAATAAAACTTGTATAAGTCAAACCATGTAGAATTGACATGATTGAGATTTTTGATGAAGTAACAGAGAAGGTTGATGAGAGTAATGTGGTTGGTGGGTGTACATGACCTTCCAACTGGCATTTGGTAAAGCGTTACAGGACAGGTTTGGCAGCAAAGTTTAGAAACGTGAAATTAAAAGAATTGGGGAAGCATGAATACTGAGTCTGGGGAGTGACAGGAAGCAGTGTCAAGTTGATTGGTTATCTTTAGGAATGGAAGAAGTTATCAGTGCAGGTTCCCTAGCATCAATATTAGAACCATTGCTTTTTTGTGGTCAATATTAATAAATTTGATTTGGGTGTTCAAGGCATAATTCCAAATTTGAGAGTGAGACAAAATTTGTGAGGAGGTCAATGATAGATTATAAAGAATATAGACAGGTTGTTAGAATGGATGACACTGGCTGATGAAGCATAACGCAGAGATAAATGCAAAGCTTAGTACCAAGAATGAAGAAGAGGAAGTGCAAAGTAAAAAAGAATAGAAAGGATGCAGGGACCAGAAGAACCTGGGGTATATACACACAGATCATTGAAGGTGGCGGGGCTGGATAAGAGAGCTATTATAATGGTATGTGAGATCTTGGGCTTTATAAGTAGCAGCATAGAGGGAAGTGGTGATGGACCTATATGAAACACTGGGACAGCCTCAGCCAAATGCATCAATTCTAGGTCACACTTTAGGAAGAATGTGAAACTTTACAGCCTGTACAGAAAAGATGGGGAACGTCCTATTTGGGGATGGATTGCAAGCTGGTGCTGTTATTTTTAGAGAAATTTCAATAAAGATTTGACAGACCTGTTTGAAATCATGAGGGGTCTAGACAGAGTGGACCAAGAGCCAAAAACTGCTTCCATTGATACAAATGTCAAGAATCAGAGGATGCCAATGACTGGTGGCACAGTGGCTCAGTGGTTACCACTGGTGCCTCACAATGCCAGGAGCCTGGGTTCAATTCCACCATCAGGTGACTGTCTATGTGGGCTTCCTCCCACAGTCCAGAGATGTGCAGGTTAGGTAGATTAACCATGCTAAATTGCCTATAGTGTCCAGGGATATGCTGGTTAGGTGGGTTAGCCATGGGAAATGCAGAGATGGGGTTGGGGTGTGGGATGATCTTTTGAGGATTGATGTGGACGTGATGGGCCGAATGGCCTGCTTCCACACTGTAGGGATTCTACGACTGCCAAAAGAAGCATCACTGACTGAAGGAAAAGCTGTCTTATGCAGTAAGTGGTTAGGGTGAGGGATTAAACCCCCTGAGGGTGTGGTGAAGACAGATTCAATCATAGCTTTCAAAAAGAAATTGGAAAATTACCTGAAAAGAGAATACCTACAGGGCTACGGATAAAGGATGGGAGAGTAACTGAGTTATTCATCCAAGAGGGTCCTTCTGTGTCATAATTATGCTGTGGGCTGAATTTATAGCCTATTCCACCCTTGGACAGTCTGTC